CGGACGCTGCTAATTGTCCGATCAATGAGCAAACGATAATTAGGGTTTCGCTTTCAATTGTAAAAATAAACCTTTCAAACGGAACACAATTTGTGATGAACTTTTCAAGATCTGCTTTAGTTTTTCTGGTCTTTGTCGTGTGTGTACATTCATGTTACGTGGCGGAGAAGTGTGGGGGGGGGGGGCTCATTTTAATTAGGTCAATAATAATTAGTCTTACAATATGAGGAAAAATAAAATAACTGATACATTCAACTTAAAGTTTCTTTTGAAATGTTTAGATATTTTAGAGAGCATATGGATCTAACAAACAGTAATTTATTTAGAAAGTTGGATCAAAACCACTGGCTGCTATCAATATTTTAATCTGACATAGCGGCCATGCTGTTTAGAAATTAACATAGCCTAATTTAGTTTAGACACACTAGATATTATTGTTAAATTTTAACCAGGCTAGCTAGATATTGATGTAGGCAAAATTAATTCCGAAATGTTAAATATTGATGTAATCAAATTTAATTGATCGACAAAAATAGGGCACCATGTCTTTTTAGCACTCAACACGCACACAATCATGGAAAACTATATGCAAGGGACGTAACACGAACTACCAATGGGAAAAAATTATTGTCTAAGATCTTCAGAAAATGGTCGTACGTTTCATGAGGTAGTGTGTTGAAACCATCGAAACACGTCGGATAGACGGTAACATTTTGTGCATATTGTTGATACACAGTAGGTTGATAATTTGATAGGTTGATACATTGATAAAAGATGATACATTGATACAGGTTGATACATCGATACAGGTTGATACATTGATACAGGTTGATACATTGATACATGTTGATACATTGATACAGGTTTGTTACGGGCCAGTTGTAGGTTAGATTAGAATAGGTTAGAATAGTCTAGAACTAGGGGAGAGAGCGTGTGTGAGTGGAGTTCACCCTACTGTGTAGTATTTATAAACCTCTTCACAGCGCTCCTTAGGCAGGTGATCCAAAGCATACTTATACACAACCCTTGCTCTTTCATGCTCCCTCTGACTTTCCTCAAACTTAGCAAACGCAACCAAAAGCTGTTCACTGATGTTATCCTCCCCATACTGGCCACCAGTTGTTACGTTCTGGGTTCGTTTCAAATCATCAACAACACTTCGTGTATAACTTCACTCCTTTTATTTGTCTCAATGCATTCAAGCGTACCATAACAGCGCTCGTCCTAACCGCTACTAACTCGCTGACTGCCCCCCACAATCGTTCACTCCCCCTTTTATACCCGCATTCGACCTTGGGACCACAAGACATAAACACACAAGGGTAACTACACAGTAGGGTGAACTCCACTCACACACGCTCTCTCCCCTAGTTCTAGACTATTCTAAACTATTCTAATCTAACCTACAACTGGCCCGTAACACATTATGTATTTCATTGTATATACAATCTGTCATATACATTCTTCGGAATGTATATTTTTAACTTGTGTATGTTTTTTGTGTATGTATATTTTTTAACTAGTGTATGTGTATGAAAGGCTTTGTGTTTTTTATTTAGCTAGGATTTGTTAGTCAGTATTTGTAGTTATTACTACAAATACTTAGGTGGGGGGTAGTGTTACGGGCCAGTTGTAGGTTAGATTAGAATAGGTTAGAATAGTCTAGAACTAGGGGAGAGAGCGTGTGTGAGTGGAGTTCACCCTACTGTGTAGTTACCCTTGTGTGTTTATGTCTCGTGGTCCCAAGGTCGAATGCGGGTATAAAAGGGGGAGTGAACGATTGTGGGGGGGCAGTCAGCGAGTTAGTAGCGGTTAGGACGGAGCTGTTCTGGTACGCTTGAATGCATTGAGACAAATAAAAGGAGTGAAGTTATACACGAAGTGTTGTTGATGATTTGAAACGAACCCAGAACGTAACAAGGTTGATACATTGAAAAACACGTTATACATTGACGGAGAGGTTGATGATTTGATAGACCGGTGGATAATTTACGGCTAGATTACATTTAAGAACTGTAAGGTTTTATGTTTGAACTAATTAGTTAAAATAATTATTATTGATTTAATAACGGAACCAAATAATGAAATTATAGTCTGGTGATGTCGGTCACTAGCGTGGGTGAGGAAGGGGGGGGGTGTGAAAGAAAATAGTCAATCAGTAATTAGATATGGCAGTGGGGATTAGTGCGGATAGGAGGGGGCGGTGGGGAGTGTAGGGCCAGTGTCAAGAGTGTCCAAGATAAGACGGTTGTTTTTATAGAGCTCAGGCCCCCAAGTTTTTATAGAGCTCAGGCTCCCAAGTTTTTATAGAGCTCAGGCTCCCAAGTTTTTATAGAGCTCAGGCCCCCAGGTTTTTATAGAGCTCAAGCTCCCAAGTTTTTATAGAGCTCAGGCCCCCAACTTTTTATAGAGCTCAGGCTCCCAAGTTTTTATAGAGCTCAGGCTCCCAAGTTTTTATAGAGCTCAAGCTCCCAACTTTTTATAGAGCTCAGGCTCCCAAGTTTTTATAGAGCTCAGGCCCCCAAGTTTTTATAGAGCTCAGGCTCCCAAGTTTTTATAGAGCTCAAGCTCCCAAGTTTTTATAGAGCTCAGGCCCCCAACTTTTTATAGAGCTCAGGCTCCCAAGTTTTTATAGAGCTCAAGCTCCCAAGTTTTTATAGAGCTCAGGCCCCCAAGTTTTTATAGAGCTCAAGCTCCCAACTTTTTATAGAGCTCAGGCTCCCAACTTTTTATAGAGCTCAAGCTCCCAACTTTTTATAGAGCTCAGGCTCCCAAGTTTTTATAGAGCTCAAGCTCCCAACTTTTTATAGAGCTCAGGCTCCCAAGTTTTTATAGAGCTCAGGCTCCCAAGTTTTTGCGAGTGATGAACATTAAAAAATGTTTTTTTGCGATTCGTGAATCATTTTTTTGCAATTGGTGAATCTTTAATTTTTTATTTGTATTGATGCTTGGTTTAGATTTAGGGGGGGGGGCACTGGTAAGGGGTGGAAGGGGTGGAAGAGGTGGGGGGAGGTGGCGACATCTTTTAGCAAGAACAGCTTTTGGTAGAAAGGTTTAACAAACAAGAACGCAAGTAAACTACAAGACCAGACTTTCCCTGACCTCGGCGTCCATCGCTGCTAAAAATAGATTTTATGCCACCGCCATTAAAAAGATACTTCTACCAAGGGATGTAATTACTTTCATCTCTGTGTATGATTTATGTTGCTGAGGTTAGCTGAGGCTCTAGTGAAGCACGTGCGCTCTAAGTTATGGCAGACGGTCTTCGTGCTACAACACATCTCGCCTCGGTTTTAGAAGAAAATAAATACGTTAAAGTTCACTAATTAAGTTTGTACTGAAACAATATTTTATTACGTTATTTAATTAATGTTATACTAAAAGAAAAAAAAAAAGAAAACACAACACGTTAATTAAATCACCACTGGTTAATTAATTTTTTATATTGCTGTATCTCTTATTATGTAATCACGGTCACGCGAAATTAAAATAGCTCACCTAAACGTCATCTATTGGTCTGTTAGCCCGTCTTTAGTTAAAGAATTTACTAATCCTTCAATCAAAATATTTGCACATGATTTTGGTTAAATAATATTTATTAATCCTTCAATCAAAATATTTGCAAATGATTTTGCCGTCTGTTTGATCATAATACATGATTATTGATACATTTTAACAACCTCATTATCACCAGAAAGCGAGGTAATTTGACGAATGATTGCAATTAATTCCCTGTTGTAATTTCCTTTAATTACCAGCAAAACTCGTCCTTCACCCCCCCCCCCCACACACACACCCACAGGACTACAGACGAGCAAACAAACAAACAAACAAGAAAGTAGAGCGATTGGGGAGATCACGTGGTCCTAATCACAAACAAAAACAAATTAGTGCACGATCGCGGAAACAGTTCTGCTTCCATTCATTAATCGATGACGTCACGAATGACGACACCAACCTAATGTCTTGTCATCTAATCATTATTTTATACCGACAATCTAAAACACATCAGCTTTTTCTCTTGTCATTCCATCACTATTGTATACCGACCATCTAAAGCACATCATCTCTTTGTCTTGTCATTCCATCACTATTGTATACCGACCATCTAAAGCACATTTAGATCGGCTTTAATTTGTGTAGAACCCATTATTGAAGTTATCAAATTACCATGATAGCAGAGACATCAACTGACAGACTTGTAGCCCGTGTTACCGGCCTAAGTGACGGTACGACGTCTATTGACTCTGCGATTTTAAAAGTTCTTTTCGGGTATTTATAATAACAAGCCGACACGCGGCGTATCATACGCCGCAATATAGTTGTTTTATTTTCTACTTTTCAGTAATTCGTTATTTGTGAATTCAACAGTACCAATGCTGCCACTGAAAATATTTGCTTTAAAACACTATCAGATGGTCGTTAAGGACGATAACCCCCCCCCCCCCCTACTTTCCTTTCCCCCAACCCCTACCCTACACCCCTCCCCCCGTGAGAGCAGCCTCCTCTTAGTTACCTCCCCTAAGTTGAAAATCGTTTCAAACTAAATTATCTGCCCCTAATAGCCATCACTAAACCCGGCTCTACGATTGTAAACATTTAGCGTGAACCACAGCTCACCGGACCTTGTGGGGGTGGGGGTGGTAGGGATATGCCTAGAGAGGAAAGAGAGGGGCTGCTATGCGCGCTTACAGCTTGGTGTTTTCTAACGTCTCCAAGAAGAGAATTATATATAGAATCTAGATAGCTGATTATTTCTTGCCTTGTCCCACATTCGGCATATGACTTACTTCCTATGATAAAATGTAACACTCATCACAATTAGAGTTTTGTTTATCAGACATTGAATGGAAACACAGGGTCTGGTAAATCTCATGTTTACCAAACATTAAATGGTAAAACTTAATATCAACCATGTTTTGTTGTTATTTCAGAGAACTGTAATTCTGTTGTCTACAACATCCATCTTCGAGTGACAAAAGGGGCGTGGCACCACCAAGATGTCCACCAACGACCTCCCACTAAACTTCAGCACGACGGAGCACGACGCCCCTGTCACTACTGGGGCGCTGGGGGGCGCCGAATACACCGAGAGCGAGCTCTTCATGCTTGAAATAGACCGGGCGGTCAAGGTCTACTACTCGCTGGTCTTGGTGTCGGTCGGCACCGTGTTCAACATCCTCTCCATTCTGGTGCTCAACAGGACGGCCTTCAGGCACTCCACGACCTCCGTCTACCTCCGCTTCCTCGCCTGCATTGACATGTTCGTCCTCTACAACGGTCTCAGCCGCCATTTTGTTTCCGGTATCTCCAACTACAACATCCGGTATTTGAGCAACTCCTTCTGTAAGTTCAACCAGTGGTCGAGTTCGTTCGCTCCGGATATCAGCGCGTGGATCCTGGTTGCCGTGACGACGGAGCGGGTCATGTCAATCATTTGGCCACACAAAGTCAGGGTCATGTGTTCCAGGGTCAAGGCTGGCGTTGTTGTCACCGTCATATCTGTCGTCATAATGGCCGCCAACCTTCACCTGATGTTCTTCTACGGCAACAAAGAGGTAGTTTGATGAGTGTAACGTTGGGGACCGTATTATTGGGGACCCTAATGTATAGGACCCTATTGTTGGGGAACTTAATGTTGGGGATCCTTATGTTGGGGATCCAATTGTAGGGAACCTTAATGTTGGGGACTATATTGTTGGGGACCATAATGTTCGGGATCCTATTATTGGGAGGATCTTAATGCTGGGGACTATATTGTCGGAGACCCTAATGTTGGGTTCAAATTGTTGAGGGCCTTTATGTTGGGGACATTATTGTTGGGGGACCCAAATGTGAGGGACCTTGATGTTGGAGGCCCTATTGTTGGGTAATATAGGGAACCTAAATGTTGGAGACCCTAATGTTTAGGACCCTATTTTTGGGCACTATATTGTCGGAGACCCTAATGTAGGGTTCCTATTTTTGGAACCTTAATTTTGTGCACCCTAATGTAGGGGACCCTAATGTGAGGGACTTTTATGTTGGGGACCCTATTGTTGGGAACCTTAGGGATAGGGACCTAAATGTTGGGGAATTTCTATTGAGGATCCTAGTATTCGTAGCTTTCTACATTGCCTGAGTGGGCCTATACAGTTTATAGTGGGTTTTGTCTACTATGGTGGCTTGTATAAACTTTAAATTATTTTATTCATTAAAGTTATTGCTCTGAGTGCCAGGAATAAAACTAAGTTTAGCACAGTTTAAAAGTTAATTCATCGTTTAGTTTAATTAATTATTATCAAAACAACACAGAAATTACCTGGAGATTTCAGTTTCCCGTATAAATAACTGTTTATAGCGTCGCTCAGTGCAACACGACAAAGTACTCAAACAAAACTGTCTTACCCAAATGGTATCCTCGCGCTTGTGCAGCTGATGCAAATGTTAATCTGCTATCAGCGGTCTTTAGGTATAATCCTCTATGAATATTAATCCTTGACGCCCGACTTAGCCCCAGATATGAGTTTGTTATCGTTGTGTTTATTTTGTGTCGGTCGTTAGCTCTGACAAGTAGAATAGTGGGCCGAAGCTACTTCGACAGGTCATTCAGTACACAAAAATAAAAAAATAGACACGTTTTTTGCTAGCTGGTACAATGACGTTTACTTTATGTTACTGTAAGTTACTGAGAATATTTGTCATAACCTGAACTCTAACTATAATTAAACTATTTACTAATAAAATAACATTACTGCACCTTTCAGTTTGTTTCAGACTTTTGAACTATTTACTGCAAGAAGTCCATTCAATGACTAGGTCCTTCTGCTTTTTTCCAGACATTTGAACTATTTACTGCAAGAAGTCCATTAAATAACTAGGTCCTTCTGCTTTTTTCCAGACCTTTGAACTATTTACTGCAAGAAGTCCATTAAATAACTAGGTCCTTCTGCTTTTTTTCCAGACCTTTGAACTACTGACTACAAGAAGTCCATTAAATGACCAGGTCCTGTTTGTTTCAGACCTTTGAACTATTAACTGCAAGAAGTCCATTAAATGACTAGGTCCTTCTATTTTCCCCCAGACTTTTGAACTATTGACTGCAAGAAGTCAATTAAATAACTAGGTCCTTCTGTTTATTCCCCAGACCTTTGACCCCGCCGCCAACCGTACAGCCGAGTCCCTGTGTGTCCTGCTGGAGCCCGGCTACGAGAGCTTCATGTCAGACGTCTGGTACTGGCTGGACCTGCTCAAGTTCGTCCTCCTCCCCAGCTCCATCCTCATCATCTTCAACATCCTCATCGTCATCTTCGTCATCCGCAGCCGGCGACGAGTGGAGAAAATTATGACCAGAGCTCCAGCTTTAGGTAGGTCTTCCGCGTCAGCTCTCAGCGCTGGGAGGGCCGAGGTTCGAACCACGGAGCCGACACAGCTGTCGACCAGCAGCGTCTACAACAGACGGGTCAACGGGCCGAACAAGGAGGTGTCCTTGACCTTAACCCTGCTGGCCATCAACGCCACGTTTGTGATCTGTAACACACCTATCATGGTCTACCTGCTGGGCAGCGAACGCTGGTTCCCACCTGGGTTCTCACCTGCCGAGCGGCTGACCCTAACGGCCGCCGTCATGGCCATGTACACTAACAATGCAGCCAACTTCTTGCTCTATTGTGCCACAGGTTCGCGATTTCGCGCCGAGACGCGACACATGTTTTTGTCGCTCCGGCACAGGTCGCTGGCTAGCGGGTCGCGCGCCATGAGAGACAGCACCGGAAGTGACAACGGGAAGAACTTCCGCCTGGAGGAGCAGCTGGCTACAGCATTAGGCTCCAGAGATACATTCTGTACGGAGCATTCCAAGGTTTACTATTGAGACATTATGTACGGATTATTCCAAGGTTTACTATTGAGACTTTCCGTAAGGAGAATGACATGGTTTTTGCATTGAGACTTTCTCAATGGAGTATTCCATTGACTAGATTTTCAATAAACATTCAGCACTTCAAAAATGTTTCACATTTGAGCGTTTGTGACATTGCAAACAGAGAATATTCTAAAACATGTTTTTGTTGTTGTGATACTTCCACCAGAAACATCTCACATTTTCCAAAGGGCTCCAGAAAACATGTCTCACTACATGAGTCCAGGGCTTACAAAAGCGATTTGATGACAAGATCAACAAACCCAACTTGTGTTTTACTCAAGGACTATTACATTTAATTAGAGAACATTTGATTACCCGAGGCTAGACATAATATAGTACTGGTGTCTTAGCCCTTCAATACAGTGCACGCAAGGGCGCCAAGACGCTAGAAGACAATACTTTGTGGGTACACTTGATATGTGATGTATTGTGTATGGGTAATCAGTAGAGAAATATTCACCACTTGCGCAATGATTGCATAGGTGGTGAGCCACACACTGATTACAGAATATATGAACCACACACTGATTACAAAAGATACTGACCACACACTGATTACAGAAGATATGGACCACACACTGATTGCAGAAGATATGGACCACACACTGATTACAGAAGATACAGACCACACAATGATTACAGAAGTTACTGATCACACACTGATTACAGAAGTTACTGATCACCCACTATTAAAGTTAATCAATCATCGAGACTAGAAGAAGATAGAGAGTTCGGTCCATAAAACAAACAGCTTAATTTAATTTCTAAAACAAAACAAATTGACGAATGTTATACATGTACATTATAATTTATTGTACACCGGCTACTTCATGTAAGGATTGATTTGAATTAATAAAGTTATAAATCGATCGTTTATTTGTCTCATACTTTTATTGGTCACACTTTAAAGAGCTTATGTCAAAAGTGCAGAAGATGAACTGATTATCCTTTGCAGTCACCCCATAATCTTGTAATTTAAAATAACTATTTTAATATACCTAGAAGCAGGGCGACCATCGGTAAATATCTTTAGGAAGACGCTGTACTAGATTCTAGATCAAGGTGCTCACTCCGGATGGTGATTCCAGTAAAAGTTTTACATTTCCCTGACTCCCCTAACGTACTGTTAAAGTACATGTCTTACAATTCTTACAATTCCCGAGTTAAATTACCATTACATTTCCCTTATAGAGATACTGGTAGCCAAAATGCTATAAATAAAACGTGCATAACTGGCTTTTAGTTTAAAGTCCAAATAGCGAGTCACCCTAAAATAGAATCTTGTTCATTAGCCGTCAGCATGGAGCTTTAACTGATGCACTTTTTCAAGCCTTCATTCCATCTGACCGTTGTTTTACTCACTTAAAGAATGGCTCAACTTTCTTCATTACACAACAAATTATGTCTCTCTAAAAATAGCACATGCACAAGCCTCGCTATACAAAGGCTGCAGCTAATTCAAATATTGTATTGTTTCGGTATCCATAGTGTTGGTATCGAGTCCAAAAGTGTCGGTATCGCGACCAATATATTAGTATCGAATTGAGTGTCGTCGGTATCGATTTTGTCTGGTCAAGTAGTGTCGGTATCGTGTAGAATGTTGTCAGTATCGAATTAAGTAGCGTCGCACAAATCTGAGGAGTAATTGATATTCCTAATTTGAGAGTTTTTAATTCTAAATCTTGCGAGATTTGATGACGAAATACTGCTCGCCATTTTCAAGAAGAAAAAAAGTTAGATTGTCTCCCTTAAGGATAGAGTTCATTAACTTTTTACTGTTGATGGGGGTAAAAAATTGAAATTGTTTGGTTGATGCTGTTTTTGTACGCCGTTACTTCGACGACAGAGTCAGGACAAATGAGTCAGAACACTGTAGTCAGGACAAAGGAGTCAGAACGCTGGAGTCAGAACGCCGGAGTCAGGACGCCTCTGTATGAAGTTTTGTATGCTGTCCTGGTATTCACACCATACACCCGGCCTGTACTTCAAGGTGCTCTGTTCATCATAAATAGGGGAGGGGGGTAAACTGTTCGGCTTATTTATATGGGGCTAAAAACTGCCATGCTAATTTATATAGGGTTAACTGCTCTTCTCATTTATATAGGACTATAAACTGCTCTGTTCATTTATATAGGACTATAAACTGCTCTGTTAATTTTGGGCAAGAAACTGTTTTGTTCACGATTTATATGGGTCTATGAAATGTTTTGTTTCTACTTTTTTAGGCTAGCAACTGCACTGTTCATCATTTACTTGATGTCCGTAGTCCGTCCTGCTCAGTATTTACATCTGGCTATACCGTAAATTTATCTGCTCATCTTGTATATGAGGCCACACTTTTAAATACTTTTGCCAACACAACTTTTTCCGCGAGTTTTTTAAAACTGATTTCTTACTGCAATCTCTAACAACGCCCCATCAACCCACCAACAGCATTGGTATTTTTAGCATCGAAAATTAAATCGTGACTTGATGAAAGTGTGGTCATTTAATGCTCTAGCATGAGGTTAAAGTACACGTAAGGTACTTCATTAGTTTTTGCACTTTTGCTTCATCTCAGCCGATGTGAAAACACGAATGTCTGGTGCGGTGTTGGTTTAACCTTGGGGGTGTGTCATACAGCATGGCCGCGATCTCGGCCAATCAAAGCGCGATGTCAGGTTTACCTGAGTTTTATTTACTTAACTTCTTGCAAGTTGCTGTTCACTGAGTGACGCAGATAAACAGATCACGCAAAGAACCAAGTTAATCCGTTAATCCGTTAATCCGTTAATCCTGGACTGAACACCAAGCAGTCAGACAATCCTTTTCAAAAAAAAAAAAAAAAAAAAAAAAAAAAAAAAAAAAAACTCCCGCATCTCAATGAAAACAAAATTCTTGGACAAAATATCGGTACATTAACATTTTTTTCAGAATACGTTTTTAATGCTACTGAACAGTATTGACCATCGTATTTACAAAAAATTCACGTTTTTTTTTTCAGCACACGAATGGTAACGCGTGTTTTCTGAAGGTAGGGACGTGCAAGCTGCACTGGACAGATTTGGTTTTTAATGCGGGCAATAAATGTAGCCACACTGGCTCTCAAGTAGTGTCACAGCCTTAAAATTAGGAAAAAAAGTAGGGGGTGGCTAAAGGGTTGAAGGGGTGGGGGGTGGGGGGGGGGGGGAATTACCCTATGCACTCTATCACACAATTTTTATTTTATAAAAATATCGGATAATCAAAGTTAAAAAAAACACGTTAATATTCCTGTCATTTTTATAAATTTTGTTTCAATAAATGCTGTCCTTCAAGTTTCTCTGTGTAGATTTAAATAGTCCTGGACAGATTTCGGAAGTAAGTATAGGATTATATCTCACCTAACATATTATATATATATATATATATATATATATATATATATATATATATATATATATATATATATATATATATATATATATATATAATGTTCTTTTCAATCTTGTTATTGCCACCCAGCACAGATGGGCATGTTTGCAAGCAGACAAACCCGGGGGGGGGGGGGTAGCGGTTAATAAATCACGTAATTAAGTCACAACAAAAACAGACCCATAAAGAGGTGGACGTATTAAGAACTGAAAATAGAGATGGAGACAAGAGAGAGAGAGAGAGAGAGAGAGAGAGAGCAGCCGATCAAACACTATTTTCTATGAAAGACTCAATGAAATTATCAATGACAGAGTCAATGATAACTACCGCTCTCCTGTATTTTTCTCTTAAGAAACTCAATGATCAAGCGTTAGTAGTTATAAAGAGAGAGAGAGTTTATCAAAACGGAAATAATTCAACTCGTTTAATTAATAAAGCGTTAAACGTAATTATTAATCCTTAATTTCTCAGCGATTGATACAATTGTTTAGGGACAGTTAAACTATTTTTAAAAAAATATAGATCCTCGATTTTCATTTATAATTTATTAATTAAAATAAGATTTAAAAAAAAAAAATTAAAACAGGTCTTTGTACTATATTATTAAAAAAACAACTAATGAATATAATAAATAATTTTGACTATTTCTCATTCTAAACCTATCGAATATCTTTTTTTTTAAATGCAAGGTAATCTTTTATAGAACCTACATGATTAACTTTTCTTCTAATAATTAAAAAAACTCAAAATAAAAACTATTATTCCTACAAATATTAGAGTAGTCTCCCTTGACAGTTTCTATTCGAATGTATTTTGTGTTAATTTTCGTTATGAAATACAGTTGACTTTTTAAATAAATTATATAAGAAAACAATCTATCTCTGTGTATATTTATTTAAAAAAAATATTATTACAATAATTAGAATAGGTGTTACTGGTTAAATAGCAATTATTCTCATTCTAAATCTTTGGCTATCGAGTTTCATGGGTTTTTAAATTTAAGATTATGAACACATTGGCTTGACGAAAATGATTATATACACTTAAATACATACTAAAATTTACTTTTGTTAATAAACCTACACTATTTTATGCACACATACAAAAAAGAATATTTTAGCGGCAGTTACAACGTCAAAAAAAGGAAACTCCTTTATACTGAATAGTTCTACGTAACAACAAAAATGTAAAAATACATAGTCCTAGAGCACACTAACACATACATATATACATACGAAGATATGTGTGTGTGTAAGTAGGATGTGAGGTGTGTAGACAGGCGGGGTGGAAGGAAAGCAGTTTGGCAGGAATAACGGTAGGTAGGAAAGTAGGTAGGCAGGCAGCAGCGCAGGCAGGTTAGTAGATAGGTAGGTACGTAGGCAGGGAGTTAGGTATGTAGGTAGGTGGGCCTAGGTAGGAAGGCGCCTCACTCGGTATAGTGAGCGATTATAGTAGCCCATCATATTCATAGCGTTTCGCAATTATTAAAACGAACAAAGGTACCATAGTACTCACGGGAAAACCCGGGGAGCTAAATGGAACCCTGCCAGGGCGCCACCAAATCGAATTTTTTTTCGTAGAAACCACCACAGGGGTATTAGCATTAACTTCTCAAATTTGAATGACAAACGAATGAAATCTTTGATAATGCTTAAACAAACAAACCCACATATTCGTTTTTGGGGCGCGGGTTTGTCCACACTGCCGCCTAGACGCACCAAGGCTCACTGTATGAAAGCATTGAGTGTACGTTAATCAACCTCTGTAATAGTGAGGTAGAAAACACATTGGCGACCGCCCGTGTGTTAGAGACGCGTCCCTTGGCGCTCCAGGGAGCCACTGGTTATATTTCCGCAGGGGCGCCCCTAATTCGGTTTAATTATAAAATGTCGTGTGCCACCGTGTCCCTATTGTAGGGTGCTCTTTAAGGAGGCACTCTCTGTAGAGCCCGGGGCGCTCGCTGTCGCCAACTGCCAGGGCGCCGGCGGGCGCTCATTATTCTACTTAGTGAACATTTATAGTAGCCCATCTAAACCGTAGTGTCGCCCGAGATGGGTCTTGGCTGCTCTGGGCCACTCAACCGCCGGGGAGCTGGCGGATGAACCTGGTGTAGTTTTATCACTGAATCACAGAGGCGTAGCACCATTCCTGGCGCCTGGGGACAAATTTTCAATTTGGCGCCCCCCCCCCACTCCCGCCGGAGACAAACTTTCAATTTGGTGCCCCATCCCCGTATTTTTTAAATATTTATAATGCAAAACTGTAGCTAAAATTAGCTTTTAAATTTTTCCAACCATTTTGGCGCCCCTAGGGTTGGCGCCCGGGGACATATGTACCCCCGCCCACCTCGCTGCGCCTCTGCTGAATCTAGTATTACCTATGACCGCAATTGATGAGATAGCCCCTCTGGATTCCCCTCTGGATTCTGAGCTCATAATCGTATAATTAGAAAAAATCGAACCCTCCCAGGGTGCCACACTTAAGAATTTTTTTCTTTCTCGAAACCCTTTTCACCAACTACCCAAAATTTTATGACTCTCGTACGAACAGTGTCAAATTGCATCTGGCTTTTATTTTTATGGAGAAAAATTGCATTGCTTCCTGTCAGAGACCCCAGATCGAATGGGGCGCCAAAAGGGGTAGACAATTTTTTAAAAAATCCTCATTCTTCAGTAAAATTTAAGAAAACAGATTTATACATGGCTGATATCCTCAATTATTTTATATAGGGGAGTGTATGTAGGGATGGGCGCCTTTTTGCCAGCTTTGAATAGGGTTGGCACATAATTGATAGTTCGCCCCGGCTGCCGGAATAGGTTGCTACGCTTCTGCTTCCTGCTAGGGTGCCGCCCTGGCGAAATCTTTCCGGGGGGGGGGGGGTGCGTGCGGACACTGTTAAAAGTATTTTTTTTCTATATAAATTCCGTTTCGTTCGGGGGTGGGGGGGTCGATAGACTTTCTTCGGGGGGTGGGGGGCTCTGTTCCCCCCCCCCCCCCCCCTCTGAATAGATTCCTGGAAAAAACTCTGTTCACAAAGTTTTATGGCGATCCGATGAAAAAGATGTAGTAATTCATATAGGACAAACAGATAAACATACTTTCATTTCTATAAATATAAATAGATATATAGGGCCTACTTTGACTAGTGTCAGCATACCCGCACCCGGAAACTTAGTCACAATTTTCTTTGTTACATTTGAACCCTTTAGGTTAATCAATATTAACAAAATTGAACAAGATGCAACAAATACAGTTAACCAAGAAATTGAATAAATAAAATTCACGTTATCTTTTTATTGTTTTTAGATATAGAGTAGTAACAGACTACCTACAGGTCCTAACTCGCGACGAGGTACACATTTGTATTAAAACACACATCTAAGACATTTTCCATTTAGGTGGGTTTTGCAGTACAGTGGTTTCTTAAGTCGTGGACAAGTGATTGCGCTTATCTCTGTTGAGTAGCTATGTATTCTGTCCTATATTAGACACATTGGTAAATATCTGTCACAATATGGGCATAGAGATGATAAAACGATAGCTTATCTTTGCGGACAACGCTAAACTTTGGCATCGACACCACGGCCTACAAGTTCAAATTCGGTCCTTCAGAAATGTTTGAAGTCTCTAGATTAAAACTACTTTTCTCTTTTATGTACCTACTGACCACATCACATGCATTTGTTCTGAAAGTCTAAAAACAGAGGCACAAATATATCGTCTAGACTTGTGAGGTCTACAGATTAGGTATTTTGGCAGTTATCTAAGCCCTTGCCTGTTCTGACTCAAAGCCTTATTCTTTCTCTATCGACGCCTTGCGTAACATGGGATTGGGTTTTTAAGGCGGCATAAAGCTTTATGTTGTTCCTTTTTGAGTACACTAGATTAAAAACTAACGTTTTCAGATGCCTAAAGATGTTTAACCACTAATTAATCAGAATAATGGGTCAAGATTTCAATTCTTGGTTTTGGGACACGTTAGTTGCCGGGGTTGAGCTAATGTCGATAGCATAAGGACTGTACCTTGATGCGGGCGTTTTATTTGTTGCCCATCGTAATAATTGAATGGTTGATGGGGCTTCTTCAAGGGTTTGATTTGCCGTAATGTTAATGATATCATGCATGTGCGGCTTTTCTAAGAAGAAAATGCGTTTAAACACTTTTTAGTTATGCTTTTTTTAAATAGGCCTATATTTTACGACATCATAATCGTAATGAACAATAAAATGAATTTAAACAACTTTAGAATACACCTGTTTCGGCTAACATGAATGTTATTCTTCAAACTAGTAATGTTAAACGTGTCTTTTTCGCATTTTCGACTTATAAGCAATACAGTAAATTCCGATAACGTCCATATGCATACAAGCAATGGCGTAGGCGAGGAGGGGTTTAATAGTGATTTAATAATGATACTTTCTTAACCCTCTACTGGACATCATGTTTGGTACCTTGCCCCCGGCAACTGGGTGGATTTGGATTACACCCAAGTTTTACTTCATAGTAAATGGCTTCAGTTTTAATTATTGGAGTTGGTAGCAACATTGACACAGTTGAAGGTATTCAGAACAAGGTGGCCAGGAGAAATCACATTAATTAGTATATAATTTACCATTACTAACAATAGGCCCTACTTAATTGTTTAATGTTGCTGGATATTAAGCCTGGTAGGTATTTATGTTTATTAATTTGTACAGAAACAAAAAAAGGATTCCCAACCAAAGTTTTATTTTTCAGAAATAAAGAAAATGATACAAATCAATAAAGAACAGTTTTCAAAAGAATTTGTATAAAAGTAATTATTATAAAATAGGAATATAGCATTGCATAGATAAAAATAAAATACTTGACACAAACAATATGAGGAATATTTTTTATCAGAGAGGAGAAAAATATATGATGTAGTTTGAAAATAATAATGTACAGAATGTAGCTTTTGCAGATTAAAATGAAAATTCTCATGCCTATATAATTTATTGAGTAAATGAAGCAAGGCCCAAAACACTAAGCTAAATACTATGCATGGGACAGGCATTGAAAACTACAAATTGCATAAAGTGAAGGTTACCCTATTTATTGGCTATATCCACAGTAAAGATTTATGGCTTTATTACCTGCTTGTAAAATTGTTAAGGAAAAAGTGAAGTATTGTTAACGGCACATGTTGTCATTTTTTGTGTTCTCGGCACATGTTGCCATTTTGTGTGTTCTGGGAACATGTTGCCATTTTGTGTATTCTGGGCACATAATGACATTTTGTGTGTTCTGGGAACATGTTGCCATTTTGTGAGTTCATGGAACATGTTGACTTTGTTTGGCTGTGTTCTGGGAACATGTTGCCATTATTTGGCTGTGTTCTGGGAACATGTTGCCATTTTGTGTGTTCTGGGAACATGTTGACATTATGTGGCTGTGTTCTGGGAACATGTTGACATTATGTGGCAGTGTTCTGGGAACATGTTGACATTATGTGGCTGTGTTCTGGGAACATGTTTGTTTCATTTTTAAATATTATAATAAAACATTTTTAGAAATTCTATATTAGGAATTGTGTATATATATAAATTTATATATTTAATAAGACAATGGATGAATTATAATAAACAGCAAAAATGATTCAAATAAGTTTAGAAGTATTTGGCTTGATGTCCCAACAGTGAACTGTATTCCGAGCTTGTTTCCCTAGTGATAACCCATCTTTTTTGTGCCACCCTTCCAATCAAATATCCAGCTTTTTCTTGGCCTGTATCATATTGCTGGTTATAGACTTGCTTGATTTGTGTATCACAATATGATTTTGAATGTTCTTCTGTAAATGAAATAAAGACAAAATATTTTGAAATATTCTTTTGTGGAACTAGCAAGAGAAATACATTACAAATTTATATTACTATCTCTACTATTTCTTTACTATAACTAATTACTTTGAAAAGATAAAGCACTGAACATGATGAATAACAAGAAACAAACATTATCAGCAAATATTATAGATTTAAAATTGTGTTCATTCATATTGAAGATTAATGAAGTAGACTATCAATATTTACCCTCTTGATAGCTGATACTTTGATTTGATGTCTTTACTTTAAGCTTACACATCAGTCTCTGTGTGGTAAAATATGAAATAATATGCTTCAATAAAACTGTTTCAGTATATTAATTATATTAGATAAGTACATAGTTTTGAGCTCTATAACAATATGTGTTTCAATTATCATTCAAATATAATACCCTCTATATATTGTACAACTCACTGATTTATTAGAATTTAAGAAAAGACAATAATTAATAAAATATTTTGGATTAAAATCCATTATATTTATTTTAACATATAATGCTATCTCTTGCTATAATAATTACTTTTAAAAATGGGTTATGCCTATAGTACAGTTACCTGAGGATGAAACTAGGCACAGTGTATAGTCCACGGAGACTGATTAATATCCCTTGTAATTGAACATCAGTTGTAGTTATGAAATCTGGATGACCAAACACACACTCATAGTCCTGAAAAGCAATTTACACATAGATTAGCAAGAATATCTCACAAATTATTAAATTAAAGCTAACCCCTATTTAGTGCAATCCATCAAAGTAGTAGCATTTTTGTTAAGTTGTAGACAAAATACAAAGTAATGTTTGTTCTGTGATTTACATACTTTTATAAAATAGCAATATATATATATATATATATATATATATATATATATATATATATATATTCATTGTAAATTTTAGTTATGTCTTGCTATTAAATTTATTTACTCGACTGATCTAAACTCACTTTATTTAAACATAATATAGTGGATAAGTATAGTGATTTTATTATTCAGCAATAAATAGCAGGCCTAAAAAATTTTAAATAGTAACGTTTGCGAATGAACACATTAAATTCTATGTATTTCCATTTCTTTGTCTTTCCCAACTTGATGCATATTACTAACCAAGCATTAAACTATAGTCCTAAACCTGACTCTAATTATCATTTATCGGACAACCTGAACCTTTGCGATACCGTGTTATAATATATTATTTTAAAAAAGAGCTTACCACTAATTACTAAAATCAATTGTTTTTAGTATTAACTGAGCCGCATACTATTTGCTCCTATTGTCATCACCAGAAATCCAGTATGTTGGCAAAGATTAGTCTCTAAGTTCCCTGCAACCTCCTTCCTCTTGAGTGCGGAAAACACTGAAATTATTAATCATTATTTCATTATGCCTAATAGTTTAAAGGTAGTATTAAAGTAGTACTAAATAGTATGAGTCTTAGTTACTATAGGTCTAATGATAATTATTATTGTGTATGCTTACATGCTTTAAGTTTTATGCACAATATTGGTATATAATATATAGTCTATAGTATATAGCCTAAGCTATAGAGTATATAGGCCTATAAGCCTAAATATAACAGCAGCTTCAATAATGCTCATTAGCATGCATTCACTATAAACTATAAAGATAAACAAATATTTCAATTTAATTTAATTATAACTAATAATAGTAAATAGGCTTTTTTCTTGTGGTAACAAATTTAAAGTATAGGGCAGTACAGTTATAGTATAGGCCTACTAGATTCTATATTTAAGTATGTGGGCTTTTCATTCCAATGCACCACAATAGATACCACACATGATCAAGCTGGACCTCTGATCTAAAGATTTAATAATTGGGCCTAACAAACAGTGAAACTACAATAAAAATCATGTAAATTACTAATTTAACCTTCTTACCTCCGCTTCTCTAGATCTAGATGGCAGATGGGTTTTCTTTTTATGCAGCCGTATGATTAGATTCTAGAATCTAGACTATATTCTAATAAACATGAAATAACTACTAACCAGAACACTAGATCTAAATTTCTATATTCTAAGAAATATGTATTAAACCTATAGGCCTAATATTTATTTTAAATTCCTATGCGATGTGTCGTGAACTGTAGGTTTCATATTATTTTTGTAATGGCGGAAATCAGTTTAAAATTTCGTTTCCTTCCTTTTGTTATTCTATTTATAGATTCAAACGTCGGAGCAATTATCATTGAGTTTGTCGGCTGATCCACACAGGAAGTGACCGTATATCTATTAGTTACTCAGTGATCCGATCATTGACAGATACAGAGATAGCCATTCGCATGGGGTGGAGAGAGAGAGAGAGAGAGAGAGAGAGAGAGAGAGAGAGAGAGAGAGAGAGAGAGAGAGAGCAAGACTTGAAGAAAACAAAAGCAACGAAACTTTTGAACACAGTTTGGGTGTAGATGACATTTCGAGTGAACAGTTGATCAGCCTGTCTGTTTGTCTGTATGTGTGTCTGTGGCCCGTTTATGTCTCTGTGATTCTGTGTGTCTCTGTTTCTTTGTGTCTATGTGTCTATGCGTCTAAGTGTCTGAGTGCCTGTGTGTCTGTGTGTCTTTGTGCCATTGTGTGTCTCTGTCCGACTGTCCGGCTGTCCGGCTGTCCAGCTGTCCGTACGTTCGTCCATCTTTCTGTCTGTTGGCGCTCATTAGGAGCGCTTTTTCCCCTGCGCAACTCTATTCTGTTTAAAAAAAATTATTAAAAAATGTAAAAAAATATTTTTATAGCCCTGGTTGTACCATCCCCAACTGAGAATATACGAGAACGTTTAGGCGAGATCACTCCCGCTTTATTTTGGTATATTTTACAATGCAGACTCTTAATATCGTAATATCATAACATTGAAAAAGCTGATATTTTCTTTGATGCATACCTCTACCTTCATGCAATAATGCTATGCATAATTGTTATTAATATAATATATTTATAATATTCTCTGTTTTTTAATTATTCTTTTATTTCATACATTTCACGGAAGAAGCTTTCGACTAATAATTAGTAATTATTACAAAAGATGTCGCTAAAACTCTAAACTATTGTGATGTACTCTTAAACCCATTAACCGGATACCAATGTTTTTCTGTGTAAATGCTCTTTCACTTCCTACCTTCACTTCCTTCCTAGATAGCCATAATGTCGTCTTTATTTTAAATTTTCAGAGATTTTATCTAATCACTCAATGTAATTTTATAAACTGCGGTAAGTGTGAAGGTGTGGTTTATGTAGGGTCGACGGTACATGATGAAACAGATCTATGGTACCTGCTAATATGATGTACATTGTTTCAACATATTTATTTTATATTACTATTTATATTACTATTATTGGTTTATATTTAGAGGTAGATTTAGATTTAGATGAAAAAAAAAACAACTGCTGTTGGGGTGAAATCAATTCAGACATTTTTCCTACTACTCGACATTCTATATGTCTGATCAACACCTCTCCCCATATTATCTAACTCATTCCCTGTTTCTAGCTCAGTGAAGCTTTTTTTTTCAGAATAGATCAGACATAACGGAGATAACGAGAATCCTTCCATAATATTATTGACATGGATAAAAATAATTAAAAAATATAAAAAAAAATAAATAAAAAATAAAAAAAATAAAAAATGTAAACTTAAGCCTGAAAATAATTCAGAAATTTAATATTTTTAGAGTCAATCTTATAGAAGTTGCAAATGTAGAGAACTTAATTTTTTTAGTTTAAGGTACATTTCTATCATGTACTCAGACAGAGAATTAAGAAAACTCAGTTTACAAAAAAATCCTGCACCACTGTGTTAAGACGGTAGATGTCATTTTAGGCGTACCAACGTGTTAGTTTAGAGTAATAAATACCGTGTTTCTTATCATCCCATACTGTCGATCTCACCATAGCTCTAATCCAAGGCTAGCACTAACTCTAATCCTATACTATGGATCTAACCATAGCTCTAATCCCAGTCTAGCACTGACTCTAATCCCAAACTATGGATCTAACCATAGCTCTAATCCCAGTCTAGCACTGACTCTAATCCCATACTATGGATCTAACCATAGCTCTAATCCCAGACTAGCACTGACTCTAATCCCATACTATGGATCTAACCATAGCTCTAATCCCAGTCTAGCAACACTCTAATCCTATACTATGGATCTAACCATACCTCTAGCACCACTCTAATCCCATACTATGGATCTAACCATACCTCTAGCACCACTCTAATCCCATACTATGGATCTAACCATACCTCTAGCACCACTCTAATCCCATACTATGGATCTAACCATAGCTCTAATCCCAGTCTAGCACTAACTCTAATACCATACTATGGATCTAACCATACCTCTAGCACCACTCTAATCCTATTCTATGGATCTAACCATAGTTCTAATACCAGTCTAGCACTAATTCTAATCCTATATTATGGATCTAACCATATTTCTAATCCCAGTCTAGCACTAACTCTAATCCTATACTATGGATCTAACCATAGCTCTAATCCCAAACTATCACCAACTCTAATCCACAACATTTTCACAATCAAAAACATCAATCTTTTACTGTAAAGAGCAATTATTTTGAAAGAACACATTATAAAGAAGAAAAAAAAAGAATTTCCCATCTTGAGACCTGAAAACTTGACAGCCCTAATTGGCCTCTGTTGCACGTTCTCAATTAAATTGTCACCCATGGTCACAGATTTCAACAAAGTCAACCAAATTGTCACATATAGTCACAAGTTTCAGCAAAATAAACCAAATTGTCACATATTGTCACAAAATTAAGCAAAATAAACCAAATTATTACACATGATTACATATTTCAGCAAAGTAAACTAAATTGTCACACGTGGTCAGAGTTTAAAAAACAAGTAATTAAAAAAAGTCTAGTGACAATTTTAGCGCAATTTCCTTATGTTATCTAAAAATAGCTCTGTCGTAGCGTAAATCAAGAGCAGGGTTAGTAAAACCATTGTTTAGTTATTAAAACGTTTTTTATTAAAAAAAAATTCAGTATTTTACATGTTTTATTTACAATAGAGTAACATGACTAAAAACCATTGCGCGCCTAGCTACCGAACGTGATGTCGCAGCCATTTAACGTGATGGCGCAGCTATTGAACGTGATGACGCGTGTGGTGTGGTTGCATAAAATTCCTACTAATTCGGTCCAAATTTTAATTAATTCAAAAAAATTTTTGTGACCGAACGAAAGGATATTTTTGAAAACTTTCTTCGGCAATATTATTCTAAATTATGGCAGGAATCGATTGGTACATGTTTCAAGTCGCTAAGTGGTCTGGTTGCCGAGATATGGGCCAAAAACTGCATTTTTCGAGGTTTTTTGGCTTTTCCGGGAAATCCATGAAAGAAACCCGGAATTTTTTTGGCCTATGTTCATCCTGGTAACTTGCTTAACATAATTGCTTTAGAACTAGTCCTCGATATTGATTCGTTGAGGAGGAGATACGACTTAAAGCTGCGGACACACATTCATCCATCCATCCAGAAATGACGGGTTAATAAACGCAATTCTCCAGAATGGAAATTGCGCTAAAAATAAACTTTTTTTTTTCAGATTAGTGGTGGACTTCCACTCATTAAAAATTTTAAAAGACATTTTACTTTTTACAAGCTTTTATTTAACTCACTTCCTCTGTCTGTCGTCCGTCAGTCGTCTGTCTAGATCGAAACGCCCGAACGAAATTACTGGCACTTCTAACTGACAGATACGGTTCGTAGTTGGGACGTGGGTCAGGACATGAAGACAATGCAACATGACATTAAATTTGACTTAATTGGATGCCTAATTAATTTTTTATAAATAAATTAAAATTTCGACCAAATTAGTCGGCAGTTCTATCGAACTACTCCACACGCGTCATCACGTTCGATAGGCGAGTCATTAAGTTCAATAGACGCGCAATGATTTTTAGTCGTGTAACTCTATTGTAAATAAAAACATGTAAAGTACAAAAAAAATTCATAAAAAACGTTTTAATAACAAGCTTTTATGTAATAACTAGGCATACTGCCTAGCTTCGCTTAGGTTTTCAAAAAACATATGAGAATTTGAATGCTTTATTAATTAAAGATTGGCTGATTAGTGGAGAGCTTAGGTTAATTAAACAGTCATGTCAATGTCAAAGCCATTATTGGAAAGTAAGCAATGTATAAATCAAAAGGTAGTTAGAACTACAGAGGTTCCCTAAATAGTTTAACTCAAAATTTATATTACATTGACTTTCAAAATTAATTTCTTTAATTTAATTAAAATAAGTACCTTAAATTATAACACAAATCTTACTTAAATGAATGCTATACTTCGACATTTTCTGTTTGTATGTAGAATAGTATAAAATAGTTTAAAATATAATTATTTAAAAAAGTTTATCTCCCTTTTAAATTGAACGAATGACGTAGTATTTGTTTACTTTTTGCTATGCATATAAGGAAATACAACATCTGGAAAAATTTAACGACTATAATTTTTTTCTTTTCTGACGGGAATAAAGTTTTTTTTTTTGTTACACTCCAGGGTCGGTCTACGACCTCACAAAATATCAGGGGCAATTTTTTTTGTATATAGCTCATTTCAGGAGAATTTCACTCACGGTCACTTTTTAGCCCTCGCCGCACGAGCAGAGGCTGACCGATAGTTTATCCATAAGGCCGATTCATTTACGCAGGTTTATGGAAAAAATGAGCGAATTGTACAGAGCCAAAGTTCCAAAACACTGTTTTGAAAATAGTCATCGTTTTTCACCAAATTAACAAATTTTATATAGGGAATTCGGACTGGTCAGTTCTAAAGCCCTTCCGGAATTTTCCCGAAGATAACGCCTATCTTATAGTGACCCCCGCGGGTATTTCTACGACCTCAGGAGTTATGCAAGGGTTTGTACGTCCAG